CCAACCATTGTTGTTTGTCAATCATTATTCATGGGTTAACATTTAAACATGTGAACAGCCAATTTAATTTTCTCAACAATTCAAGGCTGATCACTACATGTATCAAATTGGTGCATTTATTCTATGCTTCCTGGCTGATTCCTATATGGAAAGAAGTTCATCTATACACATATTCATATTAAATGAATGAGACATTGGGAAAATATATACTTGCATCAGGCAGGCCCATATCCATAAATACTTGCTGGACCAATATGATAACCCATCTACAAAATGAAATTAAAAAGAAATAATAGAAATCCTCTGTAAATGGATGGCTCATTTTGTTTATTCAAATTAGAAAATAGCTGATTCTGATATATATGGTGAGTTTGTCAGTTACGTCTATCTCTGGCATGTCTCAAATAGTATCTATATTGCTTGAGAATCTAAAGTAGAACAACAAGCTTCATACTGACCCATTTGGTCAATTGACATCCAGGAAGCTGATTCACTGAAACAACAACTTTCCCTTCATTCAAAACCCAACACTAATGAACACAACAAAGTTTCCCAGAAAGTCAGGATTCATGCAGTCAGTAGGTTAACACCAGTTAATTTTGGCTAAATTAACAAGTTGCAAGAAATGGAGAAGAGCAACTTAGTAATATTTCTCTTTTAGAACCAGTAGATGTTTTGAAATCATGTACATCTGTGAAAAATTATTGGGAATGCTTTTAAGTTACCAATTTCATTCAGGATTGTTTTTCATATTAAACTCTCCCTCCCTCCCTCCCTTCCTCTCTCTCTCTCTCTCTCTCTCACACACACACACACTGTTGACCCTGTGGGACAGTTTATGCTTCTGAATTCCATTATATTTGGACATACTGGAAAAAAATGAAAATGATATGTAGATAAATAATGGGAAGGGGCTTGCCATACACATATCTGTGATATATGCAAATGCTGGGGTTTGGGTTATAAGTTTTGCTAATTTTCCTTGACTATACTTGATAACTTTGTGCCTTGCTAGGAAAAAGAAAATCATTGTTCAATAATTATTTGAATGGTGACTGTATAAATGATGTGATCAGCTCAAATCACATGGTGTATTAGAAATAAAGATACTTTAAAAACACTTCTAAGAACTCCTTTCCCCCCTAATTTTCTACATAAATGAGTGTAATGAATTTTGCAATCATTTATAAACTAAGTCTCCAAAAGTGATTGTTCTATCCATAAGAATAGCCATGATACAACCCAATATTTTAATCACAATTGGTCCAATTAGGTTAAGATCTTGAGGAATGGATAACTCAGCACTGGCAGGAGTTACATTTCATTTTTCATTAGGCATATTTGAAAAGTTGTTTTTGTTTGTCCAATTGGGGTAGATTTCCCAACACAAAGGATACAAAAATATTGGTTGTGGAAACTGGTCTCCCTTACAATTGAAATAACACTGCCCAGCCTAGCAACAAAACAGAAGAGGATGGTCCCACAGCTGTCCTGGTAGACCATTTGGAGCCAATCAGATTGCTAACCTCAACTATGTTTATCTTAAGCTGCTTCCTCTGTGCGTGATTCCATGTCCATGTGGAATGTTGGCATATCGCAGAAAACACCACTGTTATATTGGAGCAATGGGTGGAAGCAGCTCATCAGGTGGAAATTCAACCTGGAAATAAAGTGGAATTTCCCGACGGTAAGAACAATTAATCAATGCAATAGCTTGCATCCTGAAGCTGTAGGTGCGCCATTGCTGGAGGTTTTCGAGAGAAGATTGGACAACATCATGAGAATGTGCCCACAAGAAATGGTTAAGTGGGATATCTGTCCTGGGGCCACACAGCTATTCAGAAGGACTCAATAGTAGGCCTGCTCAGGGAACAAAAAGCAGAAAATCACATTGGAATGTATTGAATATGTAAAGCCAGATGCCTTACCACATTTTAGAGCAGAAGTAGAGCATCATTTCTAGGACAAGAGGCTGCAATTCAACTTTGCCAACTGGGGAAAGGACCAAAGGAGACTTGACAATATGATGATCTCATCATTGAGCTTTGATTTGACATACACCTTACAGCACTTCTGTTTTTTTTTTAACAAAAAATTATGCAAACAAAATTAGTCCTTTCACTTTAATCATGGTTTGCACCATTTTCCAGAGGGATTTTATGCATAATAAAAACAATCTAGATGATTCAAAAATAATTGTTATTGGTAGATAGGCATTGCCTTAACAAAAGCAGTGAAAGAGAGTGGTACAAATGCCAATTTATCATCAGGTTTTAATAGATTGTACTTTATTAATGCAACATTATAATGCACAAAGATCAAAGTGGGCACCAAGTGGTTGATTAGCTCAACTAAAGAAAAATGGTACTGTTAATAAACGAACAAGGTTATAATAACCCAGTAAGTGCAAACAAAGTGAAAAGTTTAAAGTAGCACTATTATTTTATAGGAATCTAAAGAACCTCAGAAATAAATAGGAAAAGGTGCATTCGAGCATAAGAGTACCATCTGCTTGCAAATCTTTACACCTGACACATTAATACCTAGTTCTCCTCTGCAGCTGCCTCGTGATGCAGGGAAATGGGGTGGCTGCTTTAAAGAGACGCAAACAGTTAAAGACACTCAAAGCGCCTTTTGGAATTTTAATCCAAAATACTGCAATAATTTAACAGCTTAAACTATTTTATTGCAATGAAAAGTATGAATTCCAGAATTCCAATTAATTTTTTTGAAACATTTAGTACTGGATTTATGTGCACAAATGAGAAAGAGGAAAGTATAAACTGTGAAATATGAAGATTTCAAGACTTTTTTTTAAAAAAAGAACCGACTGTAATAGATTAGAAAGCAACATATTTTACTGAGGTTAATAGAATATGGTTAAGCAATCTGTTTAAGCTACATTGATTTATGTCACATTTTAAATAGGAAATTTAATTTATTATTAGCCAAATTCTTGTCAAATAATCATTATTTTTTCATACTTGTTTAGGATGGAAAAAATAAAAATCAGAGAAAATAATTCATTTGCACATTTTATTCTCTCATATACCTACATATACAACACTTGTCATTACTTTTAAATATATTTCTGAAGTATTTTCTTTTCAAAAAACAATATTTATAATACTGGGAATAAGTAAGAAGCAACTATCTTTATTTCTGATACAAAGCAAGATAAACTGCACCTTCATTTCTTTCATAAAAATCGATACTACTCCTTGCTTAAAATTCAAGATGTGTGAACATTTCCTATATTAGTTTAGAAGTTCAACAAATCTACTGTTTCTTTTTGCATCACTTCCAGATAAGCTGCAACGGATCATATGGGAGAATAAGTACTTAATCTGTTTATATTTACTCCAGTATGTTAATATGAATGATGTTATAAACATATTTTTACACTGGATGTATCTGCAGAATAATGTCCTCGAACCAGTTTTTAAGAATTAAAAAAGTAATTTTTATAAAGAAATTTAATCATAAAGAAGTAGAATCATATAGCTGTCCTTTCATGAGTTTTTCTCCCAAACTTCACACCCAAGTGATAAAGCAGAACACCTTTCACTATATTCTTTCACTTATTTTTTAAAAAAATAAGAGTCTAGTATTTTGGCCTGTATTTTTGTAAACCCTGCAGAAAGGCATAACGTGTGTAAAAACGAAGACACAAGAATAGGAATTTTTCACCTCATTGCAATGTAGCAGTTAAATGTATAACCAGCAGAAGGCACTAAAGCTTTGATTCTGAAGTTCTTACTCTTAAAACAAGCCTGTTGGTTTCAGTCATTTAGTCAGGTGTGAGGGATTCAAGGATTGTGCACTGGATTGAATTGATTCATACAAGTATAACATGGGGTAAGATGGCAACAAGTTTAACAAGGTGCACTTTCGGAAAATAGAATTGTTCCCCCATGACCACAAAGGCATGAAAATGGCAACAGTTTACCTAAGTAACTCCCATAATTCACCCCTCCAGTACATTTAGACATGCAATGTTACACAATAATGCAACACAAACAGGAAGTGATCAGTTTGGGGCATCTTTGCGGGTATTGTGAAGTGTTCATCCTTAGTGCATGTATGTCAGCTACCCTGCTACAACGGCAAAATACTGCTGCATCTTCAGAGGCACCCAGCAAAAGCCAAACAATTAACAAGTTTAATTCATCTGCAGCAACTGGCAAGTTATTGGCAGGACAAAGCTTCACCCTTCTTCATTCTGAAGCAGCTCAGTATTTTATCCAACCTGCCACTAAAAGCAAAAACACAGAAATGAATTTTAGCTACTTTTTACAGGTAAGGGCATTATTGAATTTCTCACTTGCAAGCATAACCTTGTTTTATTCCAACCCTCATCCCACTTTTCCAGGCTACTTTTAGGTTATGAAAAATCTTCCTTAAATATAGTATTTTGAAGAGAAAAAAAACAAGTAATAATGATACTTGTTTTCTAATGCATTTGAGTTTTATTGTATTCCAAACAACAATTCTGGACCATGAGTTTATGTAAAGGAAGCAAATACAAGAAAAGTTGTTGTGCAAGAGAAGTAAAAATTTCTGCAGCAATTAAAATGATCACATTTAAAATAAAGACTGTGTAAATCCATTGCTTATATCCTGAGATTAGTCTACCTATTTCAGCTTTAAATGGAATTCTGAGGATGGGAGCACTTCAGAACTGCCCAGACTGGCTCACACTCAATGCTGATGAAAATTCTAAGTCATCAGGTAGAATTGTCTGGAAGCTGAGTGACGGCAAATGGACTTCTTTTTTGGGAGGGAGGGGGGTTTGAAATGTCTGTTAGTCTGAAGAAGCGACTTGGATAAGCAGCAAAATGTTTCAAACCAAAAAAGGAAAGGAGTTGCCATGACTCAACTTCCAGACATCTCTACTTCGAGACTCTATCTCAAATCTATACAGAAGAAGAAAACAGTGATCTTGACAAGATAATGGATCAAGCCATCATATGCTGTAAAAATGGGACCAAATGTGTGAACACAGCTTAGGGGATCTGTCTAAGCCTGTGATGGCAAACCTATGGCACACGTGCCAGAAGTGGCATGCAGAGCCATCTCTCTGGGGACGCCACCTGTCACCCATTTCTCTTCTGGGTACCGGCGTGCACAAGCTGGTCTTCATGTGTGTGGGAGCGCTGGAAACCGGAAGAGCAGCTCCCTGGTGTGTATGCACGTGACAGGAATCTGAACTTCCGGATTTTGGCATGTGCATGTGTGCCGGCCAGATGGTCTTCACTCGTGCACCAGAAGACCAGGTGACCAGTGTGCATGCACACTCCGGACACTCAGACTCCTGGCACACACATGCATGCAGGTAAACTGCTTTTTGGTTTCCGGCACTCCCGTGCATGCGCACCAGGGAGCTGCTCTTCCAGTTTCAGGTGCTCCCACGTGCGCGAAGACCAGCTTGCCATGCTTCCATCTTGGCACAGTGCTAAAAAGGTTCGCCACACTTATTTAAATAATTGCAATTGTCTGGCCAAAATGCTGAAGTCATTTATCCTAAAGTTTCAATACACAAAGAAACACTTAAAAGAGACATAAGAGTGACTGATATCAAGCCAGGTACATTGATACGTTTTGTGAGATACTGAGGGAAAAAAATCAGAAGAAAGAGCCTTCACACCCTGTCTAAACTGGCAATGTAAGAAACAATAGACTGGAAGATCCTGACCGTTGATCTTATCCATCCAAATTTGATTCTTCACTTCTTACCCTTAGATTGCCTTTGTCTGGTTCCTGGCTTCCAGATTCAAGACGTTTCTCCATTTCTTCTTGTTTTCGTTTTTTTTGTTCCACAGAAGAGAGATTCTTAATACCACGAGATGCAGCCTTTGGAAAAGAAACAACGGGACATTACATTACATCTCATTTTTATATCAGCAAAATAAATTTAGTTCTCTAATCTGTATTCCATATAGAACTCCAATAAATCTGTATTAAATTTACATAACCTTACCAGGGGTGGATTCTGGCTGCTGCCACTGGCTCAGGGACGTGCCACGCGCGTTCGTGCGCTTGATGTGCAGTATTGAAAAAAATGCTTCTGTGCATGCACAAAAGCAAAAAACAAGATGGCGGCGCCTATGATGCTGCCGATAGAACCAGTTTGGGAGCATGGCAGGCTGAGTTACTATGTACTTGTCTGAACCGGTAGGAACCCACCTCTGAACCTTACTTAGAAGAGTGATAACATATGACTGTAAAAGCATGGGCTTCAACAACAACAAAAACGCTACAGGAAAACATTTTGGGGAAGCATTTGGACAAGTTTTATTCTCCTTTCTCTACAAAAATGAGGAGGGTCAGGAAGCATATTTTGAAGCCTCCTTGAGAAGCAATTCTCAGTAGGGTTCTCCCCCCGCCAATAGATGGCTGTTTATTATTTTTATTTATTTATTAAATATATGTGCCATCCGTTTCACTGATAAGGAGATTCTTATCAAATATGGGTGAGAAAATATGCTATATATATATATATATATATATATATATATATATATATATATATA